GATACAGGGGTGTACAGGGTGATACAGGGGGATACAGGGGGGGTTATATTAATTGCAAACCTGGTATTTAGCAGTGTCTTGCACCTTGACACCGTTATGATACCTAAACAAGATAATTTTGTATATGTTCACTTATCTTTTTTAATATTTTTTATTATTTATAGAAATGATTTTTTAATGTTCAGAATCATTAAGAACCTGAAATAAGGCTAAAGTAAATACTTTATAATATATTATTAATATCTATTATATTTAGTAAAGAAATTTAAAATGTATTATTTTGCTATTTATCTTTCTATCTAACTTCTATCAAAAGTTTTAAGTATTCCTTAGTATTGGAAAATGTGTTCATTCTTTTCTTTATATATCTATCTATCTATCTTTTATTCTTTTTTCTATATCTATCATTTATCTATCTTAATTTTTTTGTCTAGTTGTCTTCATTCATTTCTATTATTTTGTCTTTTTTAAAGTCTACATATCTATCAGTGTATCTGTCTATTTATTAAGTAAACGGCATAGCATTCCTGAAATGAATCTGTCCTAAAATTCTATTTTTTTTTCTCACTTTCGTTCAGACTTTCTTAAAAACTTTCAAATGAAATTTCCATCTGAATTTAAAATATAATACATGTACATAATATTTATTGATAGCCTCACCCCCCCCTCCATCCTGACATGTAAAGCAAAAACTTGTTATTCAAAACTAAGCCATTTGTAAAACTGCCAAATCAACATCTTTGCTATTGTTGAAAATATAGAGATAGATAGTGAATTATTGATAATCGAAAATAAGTATTATCTACACAAAACTTCATTCTAGAGAAATCTAAATTTTTGCTATTATTTATCGCCCGCCATATTGTCTTTAATCACAAAATAATAAGAATTAAAAGTCGCAGATTTCTTAGTTTTATTGGAAATTTTCCCCAAAACAGACCTGCTGAAATCCTGTATAAAGCATAAAATATTTTCAATCAATATATTTAAAACAAGACATGCGTTCCCTATAGCCGGCCAAACGGCCGAATGGCCTGATTTTTTTTGTAGACACTCATGGCAGCCTAGGGATGACATTGGCTAAAAAATTGCATTTCTTGTTTTCAAATTTTTGTTTTTTTTTCCAAGATTTTTTTCATTTTTTTTCCACTGGCAACGCCAGGCCCTTTATCTGGTATTAATTATAATATTACCATGTGATGACTGGTGTAGGGTCTGCCACTATCCCACAGTGGAAAACCAATACACGGCCATCTTCTTCCTGCAATCAATCAATCAATCAATCAATCAATCAATTACTTAATTAATAAATTGATAAATATATGCTTATTCAATTGATCACTAGAAAGCGATTTGGGGATATTTATTATTTGAAATTTCTATATTCCTTAGAATATATTTTGATTTATAATTTATCCATGCTGAGACAAAATAAACAGTGAGGACGATTTTACCATTTTATTTTAGTAATCACTGTACTATTTACCAATTTATAAAAGTTAATAAATCAATAAATCAATTATATTAACAAATCAAAAAATCAATAAATCAATAAATCAATAAATCAAAAAATCAATGAATCAATAAATTAATACATCAATAAGTGAATAGATAAATAAATCAATAAATCAATACATTGGTAAATGAATAGATAAATAAAAAGGAATATATAAGTTAATTCAAAAAACCTGTCTAATTGTTGGTTTTTTAGAAAATGTTGGAGCTGTCCCGTCAACCTGGGGTTGAGGAGGAGCATCAACAGCTGAAAAACAAGAAATATAAATCTGAAGAAGATCAGCAATGTCGTCTTCCAATTTATTAATTAAAATATTCGGTAATTCTACACGTTGTAATTGTACATCTTTAGAAATCAATATACAAAGCGTCCCATATCATATCGGATTATATCAACGCTTTAAATCAATCCAAAATACGCACATAATACTTAGAAAAACTAGTATTTTCTGCATGCAAAATTTGTTAATTAGCATTATACAATTTAGAGTTGGAAACTAATAATATGATGTGGACTGCACCCTGTATATATATCAAGCAGTATCTGAGGCAAATATTTGGGTTAACTTTACATCTTTTCAATATCTTGGGATGTTAAGACCAGCTGAAGGGATTGAAAAATATACAGGGTGTCCCACGAAACAGACAGTTGATAAATAGTTTTGAATGTCGTCTTCCATACACTGTATTAGATATTAAAGGCTGTTTGCAGTTTATTTCGTTTAAAAAATCTTTTGCTCTAGTATATTTTTCTTTGAAATTAATTTTACTATAATATGATTCCTAAATAATATTTTTATTATTGTCTTTCGTATTAAAAAACTTATCAAATTATGGAAGAAGACATTCTTAACTATTTATACCAACTGTCATTTTTCGTGGGACACCCTGTAGCATCTGAAAGTGGTCACATCTGATATCAAGGTTAAGTGTCTAAGATTAACAGTATCCACAAGACAGTTCCGATATTAAAGTCTCGAATGTGTCTCAAAAAACATGACAATTACAGACTCCCAAGCTTGTTGATCATGTTTTTCTTCCAAATAAACAGCAAAACACCCTTTTTTCGTGTAGGAGTTAAAAAGAATATGATATTTAAACCCAAACCAATGAAGTAAGTTAATTTTGATTTTATTTATAATTAACATGAAATTTTTAAATTTTATCGTACAGAAATGAAAATGCCCGAAATTTAGTTATGAAAATCCACAAATTTAGAAAAGGTTTAATTCTAGGACAATAATTTGCCTGAGAACAAACAAATCAAAGAAAATCGAAAAATGACACAAAGACCAATTGTTTATCCTGAAAGGGACTGTTAGTGTAATTCTCCATGCAAAGATGGCAATTCCCATTCACAATGGTACCCTGGACACCTTTATCTGATCAATAATGTGGAAGATAGTGTGGTTGTTGTTCTATCAATTGAAACCTGTTCAGCTCTAATATTTCCAATATTTTTACCCGCAATATATATGCGAAAGTCACTGTTGTAAAGAAACCCCAATTTAAAATGATCAGTTTAATAGCAAAATTATAAACATATCTAATTCATACAGTGATAACCAGAAAACTCTAGAATAGGAAGACGACTTTTAAACTCAAATTATGACTTTAAAGAGTCCAATGAGTAGGGGAAACAGAAATTGTTCAGTGTAAACAGGTCCAATTCACTTGATTTTTGATTAAATAAGTGTCTAGTAAAACGATTTGCTTTATAACAACATAAAATATACTTCCGTATTGCTTTAAAGTCGTCTTCCTATTTCGGAGTTTTCAGGTTATGACTGTAATTAATCAGAAAAAAGCTCCTACAGACACAGTAGTGTTGACTTTAAAATGAAATAAAAGAGATCTAACGGTATTTCTAATCTTTATTTATTAAAACAAAAGGTTATGAAATATTTTCCCAAGTGGGGCTTAAATTGATTGGTTTAGAAATTAATAAAGAAACTATAGACGAATATCAGTTAGAAGGTGTTTGTAGAACTTCATGATGGTGATGCAGATCATCAATCTTGACGGCAGGCTTTCTCACAACTAGGCTTAGTCTAAGGGAGAGAGATTGCGGACTTATCCTGTATACAGGATAATGGAAGGAAGTCTGGTTCCGCCCGGATCTCTGGAACATTGCGGAGCGAACTATTGTTACCTTCTCCTGCGGAGCGAACTATTGTTACCTTCTCCTGCGGAGCGAACTATTGTTACCTTCTCCTGTGGGAGGGAGAGATTGCGGACTTATCCTGTATACAGGATAATGGAAGGAAGTCTGGTTCCGCCCGGATCTCTGGAACATTGCGGAGCGAACTATTGTTACCTTCTCCTGCGGAGCGAACTATTGTTACCTTCTCCTGCGGAGCGAACTATTGTTACCTTCTCCTGTGGGAGGGAGAGATTGCGGACTTATCCTGTATACAGGATAATGGAAGGAAGTCTGGTTCCGCCCGGATCTCTGGAACTTTGTGGAGCGCGGAGCTAGGTGTAAGCAGTGTCTTCTGTTGTTGGTTCCGTATCTGAATCATCATCACAAAGGAGCCAGGGTTGAGACGGAGTTGTGAATCTCGTGAGTGTTTTCCGCTGACTGACTGGTGAAGCGGGAGCTAGGTTGAGCGGAGATTTGACATGTGGGGTGTGTTGTATGGCGGAAAAGGATTCTGTGTATTCAGTGTACACACACATCCAGGGAATTAACATCGGCATTTGAGTCGGAACAATCGTCTTCCTTATATTTCGAATTTGTTTTAACAAGTAGTTAATTGACATGTTTGCATGGAGGGTCACTTGAAATTAGGCTCACAGTTCCTTTAAATGCCTTTTTTCAGTGTATTTGGCATGTGTATATATGGATATGTGTTTACACTGTACATGTTTACATTTACGCTGATATACACTTCTATCCTTTATGCATAAACGTACATGTGCATTGGGACTATTTCCAACAAGCAATGTTTTTTACTGCATTAATTAAGACGGATCAGGGGGACCGGCAGAGTTTTTTTATTTAAAATTTGTCGACATAGTTTCAATCAACTGTCCCCCAAAAAACGGTAGACTTTAGATTTATATTTGAACAAGAAGAATTTAACTATTCAAATTTTTTGTTAAAAAATGCAGTTTTCTAGGAATAAAACTTATTAAGTCAGGTTTAACAAGGAACAGCCGGCCGGATACAGTTGTAAGTTGGCACTAGAATTTACGCCTTCATTACAAAATACTGACTACTAGACTTTTGTTTTAATAAAAATAAACTTGCGACTAAAGTTTTGGTTTAAATTTAAAAAAAATACTTACCACTGAAGTTTTCGTTTAAACTAAAATAATTTTGAGACTGAAGTTCGGTTGATATCAAACAAATATTTACTACTAAAGTTTCGGTTGACATTAAAAAATACTTACGACTAAAGTTTAGGTTGATTGAAGCTGAAACCTCGCCATACTTATTCTTCGCCTTCACCTTAAATGAATAAACTTTATGAAATTATAAATTAAATTTGTAAATAAAGGGTTGAGCACGGAGCACCTAAAATATTCCATCCAAGAGTTTTTTGTTTGCTAATTACCTACAACTAATATTTGCATGTACTGAGCATTCAGCTCAAGAAAATGTTTTGTTTTGTTTTTAAAATACCTATGGGCAAATTAGAAAAAATTTTTGCCAAAATTTCAAATAATATTTGCAAATATTAATTGCATTAAAATTTTCAATCCAAGAAATTTTTTTTTTTGCTTTTAAAATACTTATGGGCAAATTTCAAAACATTTTCTTTTTCCAAAATTTTTACAAAATATATTTGCAAAGAAAAGGAAATTGTTCTTGTTTGTTACAATTTAGAATTAAAACTTTTTATGAGAGATAAGTCCAGAATTATAAAATGCAAAAAATCCAGTTGTAAAACTTGTAAAACTATTTGCTTTTGATTTTAAAATAGAAGTTTAAAACTTTTTTAAGATTTAGAGTGTCAAAGAAAAATCTAACACCTTATAAAATGTTGCCAGACGCAATTTTACAAAAAACCTTGAATAAGTTTTAACTCACAAAAATGAACTAAGAATAAGCCAAGATATTTATTTTAATTGCTGTGTTAATTTTAAGAGCAAGAATAAAGTATTTGGACAAAAGAAATTTTACAACCAACTTGAAAAATGCATTTTATATTTATCATTCTTTCAATTAAATTAAATTTAAATAAAACTTTTTTTTTACACTTTTTATGACGTATTAGGAACCAGTACGATTGTAACCATGGACCGGTATAACTGTGTCCAAGCACGATGCAGTACAGTTTTTTCCGAGCCAGTACATTTAGAACCGTCAGACCGGTACAATTTGTAACCGACAGGCCAATACAATTGTAACCGACAGCCCAGTACAATTGTAACCGACAGCCCAGTACAATTGTAACCGACAGGCCAGTACAATTGTAACCGACAGGCCAATACAATTGTAACCGACAGCCCAGCACAATTGTAACCGACAGACCAATACAATTGTTACCGACAGCCCAGTACAATTGTAACCGGCAGCCCAGTACAATTCTAACCGACAGGCCAGTACAATTGTAACCGACATCCCAATACAATTGTAACCGACAGCCCAGTACAATTTTAACCGACAGCCCAGTACAATTGTAACCGACAGATCAGTACATTAGTAACCGACAGCTCAGTACAATTGTAACCGAGTCCGACAGCCCAGTACAATTGTAACCGACAGCCCAGTAGAATTGTAACCGACAGGCCAGTACAATTGTAGTCGACAGTCCATTACAATTGTAACCGACAGGCCAGTACAATTGTAACCGACAGACCAGTACACTTGAAACCGCCTGCCTGTACAATTCTAACCGTCAGGCTTTTAAAATTGTGACAGATGGGCCAGCACAAATGTAACCCTGAGGCATGACAAATGTGACCGACGGGCCGGTATATCAAAGTGGAAATTCATGCAGTACTTAGGCCACCCTGATGCAAACAAGCATGAGTTTTAAATGTAGTCAGTGCAATTGCATTTTTTCCGCTTAATTTACGTTGGTATTTATCCAAGGTCAGTCCAAGGCTATGATTGTCAAATTAGTGCAGTTTAGGCTTGTCAAGCATGTCAGGCTTACAGGCCCAAGGCATTCATTTGAAAAGTTGAAATCTCACTAGACCGGAGTATAGATTGACTTCTATTTTACTTTCTTCTTTTCTATTTCTTCAGAGAGTAAGATAATTTTACCTTGCAATAAAAAAACAACTTATTAATAAATGTCATTTAATTGTCTCTTCATTTCTAATACATTTTTTTTATCCCACAATATTCTTGGTTGAATTTTGACAAGCACTTTTTTAAAGTTGACGACTTCAGTAAAATATTCAAAAACATTTTTTAATTCTGTGATTAAAAACAAAAAGATTTGGAAAAAGAATTGAGTCTGTGCAACAAACTCAAATATTTAATCCATCATCATTGCCACCTGATTGTGTAAACCTTGGATATTTCAAACTTAGATTAATTGATCTACCAAAATTCTTGATTTGAAATATCCAAGGCCTCCGTCATTGAGTTGCAAAAATATATGGATTATATAGTCTGAGTTTGTGGCAAAGACTTCTTTGTTGAAAAGGAATAAAAGCTGCTTTTAGAAGCTCCCAAATTATTAATTTGTTATGATACAGTTGAAATTGTTTCTCTGGAATACGGACCGACTAAATTTTTTGAGTTTAATAAGAAAAATTGCCTACACAGTTCACACTGGTTCATTAAAAAAATACATATTTAACTAAACTTTTTTTGTTCAAATGGAGGCTGCAAGTTAAGAAATTCCGTTTTTACAGTGAAGTCTAAAATCGATTGTAACAAAAGTAGGCTTTTAATAAAAAATGCATTAACTTAGTCTGAAACTGTTACTTTTTTGACTAAAATGAGGAGGGTGGGCGCTGATTTAATCTTTTTTTATTTTCTAAAGTTATGTTTAACCCTTAACAGGGGGGGGGGGCGTTTGCGCCCCCCTTAGTTTTTTTTGTCTTAGCACTCATTTTTGACACTATCATCGTGAAATTTTGTGACTTTTAAGAAAAGTAATTTAAAGAATTTTTTAAAATTTTTAAGTCCGGTCTTTTTATCTAAAATAGTCCATAACTTTTTAGGGACTATAGCTACAGATCTAAAACCTATATTTTGAAAAAGCCCTCTTAAAAAATGGATATAGAAAGATGTGTCACACTTTGATATTTGTTTACAACAGAAAAATGTTTTCTTCATTTTTCTGAACCTTTCTTTTGGCATTGGTCTTATTTTTTTTAATGAATTGGTCTTGACAAATTGGTCAATGCACATGCATACCCTATACCTATTCTTTAAGGGCTTTTTCTAGCCCCCCCCCCCCCCAGGCTATACATATATTCAGACCCCCTAGCCTTTATAGGGTTATCTGTTTACCTTATATAGACCAGCATCTGTTTCTACTACATCATTTAACTCAAGTATCACAGCAAATGTATTTTTTTCATCTTCGGAAATTCTAAAAAAATTAAGATTAGTTTTTATTCAATTTTTTTTTGTGTGTTCAACATACCTTATATAAGTTCTATCATCCTCTTCGAGTTTAGCATCTTCTCGAAACCAGGAAACGTCGGGTTTGGGACTTCCTGTTTCCAACAAACAAAAATAAAGACGACTTGCGTGCGGTTGGGAATAAAATGCGGCATTTAGTATAAGTTGAGGATTTCGCAGATTTCCATTAAGTCTGGTCAAAAAGACAATTTTAGAATGCATTGTTGTTCTTGTTTACTTGCCTTCAAAACTTAGAAAGATATCTACTTAATTGTATTTTCTTAGAGGACGAAAGTCCAAAACAAGAAAAATATTTTCAAATTAACAACTCTTATATTTTTTAAGTCAACATTCCACACCTGCCCCTTTGCTTTCATAGTGACCCATATAGCGGGATAGTAATATTGTTTGATACAAACTTGATTACGACACTGTTCATTTTTAGACTGTTTACACATTTTCTCCGCGGGAGCATAGAAATACATACATGGAGAAATTTTTGAGAAAGGGAATATAAGAAACTATATCAGACATTAATGATTTAAAAAAATGATTTAAGGGCCAGTTACACAAGATAAACTACACATAATTTAGCATGAAAGATTGATAATTTTTGCCAACTTCATACAAAGAAATTCTTATATCTTTGCTAACCAACCAATGTCACAAACCTTAGATATTTTAAATTATGACTTGTCTTACATATTCTGTAATTGTGCTGTACAGCTTTCTATGGCTAATTAAAAGTCGGTCTGGGACTTGAAATAAACCAAAATTTACAGTGATATATGGATTAGAAAAATTAAGTTTGTGTCAAAAACTCCAATCAAGAAGGGCCTTAAAAATGATTTTTATCTCGATCAAAAATAGAAATATTTTGTTGATTGTTTCCTGCAAGCTTGCACTCGAAGATGAGTCTGTTTCCTTCATCCTCTTGTCGGAGTTGAGGTTTCCTCACGAACGAGGGCGCGAATGTTTCTCCAATGGAACCCATCCTCCGGGCAGATGTTGATACCCTGGGGTAAGAGCTTCTCCTGAACCTTCTCCTCCAGCTGCTCTGTTATTATTGCAGCTCTTAAGTTTTCTGAAACAAAATTATAAAAATATTTAACAAGATGGTTTGATCATATTGGCGGAAACTAAGTTCTGAAACAAAATTATAAAAATATTTAACAAGATGGTTTGATCATATTGCCGGAAACTGAAATTTTCTAAACTCTAAATCTGTGCAACCTGATGGTGTAAACCTTTCTTATTTGAAATTTAGATTATTTGATATACAGAATTCATCGCTTGAAATATCTCAGGTATACGACATTAGGTTGCAAACATATACGGATAAGACAATTAAAGTTTGTGACAAAGACTCAATTCCTTTAAATCCCCGGAACCATTTTGTTCACCAATATTCATTAGAAATTTTGAACTGTATAAGTTAGGAAAATAGAAAATTGATGAGCCGTTCATAATTTGATACAAATTTTAAAACGTTGTTATTCCATTAACACAAAAAAAGTTTTTTAATGCAGGGGAAGAAAGTTCCAAACTTTGATTGGGCCAAACCTAACACTAGGTGTCAAGCACAATTAAAATGAACAAAAGAATGTGGAAATTTTTTCTTTTAGAATTGAGGAAACTAATCTAAACTCTCCGTGTTAAAAAGAATAATATGGAAACGAATTTTAGAATGTTTTAAAGAGAAAAATCTGTTTTTTGACTCATGCTAATTTGTAAATTATCTAACTGGGATTTGTTCTGAATTGCTGAATTTTTTTTTCAATTTATGGATTGTTTTTATAATGGGTTTATGTTCCAAAACGCGCCCAAAATTGCAATTTGTAATATGTGAGAAAATGGAAAACCCGGAATTGTGTCAAAAATGGTCTGGGTTTTAATTGAAAATGAACGATCACACATCAGTTTGAATTTTAGAAAAGAAGTAAATAGCGTTATTTGTAGCTATCACCGTGCCTAATAATATGTTGGAAATAGTTTCTTTAATTGATATTTGCTCTCGGCACAGGAAAAGTTACTAAACCAAACCGTTGATCAACACATTTGTGCCCAAACCTGACACTCATAGTGTTTGGAACTTTCTTCCCCTGTAATACTGTATGAAAATAGAAAAAGCAAAGAAACTAAAACACGATATAGATTTTACTGAAAAACCAATACAAAATAAAACTTCTAAAATACAATTTATTTAATGTTCCGACTATTGGAAATTGTTTCGAAAATTGATGCTTGTATATTAAAGGGACTTTCAACCAATTCTAACATATCTTAGTTTTAAATTTCTTAAGAAATGAAAAAAAGAAAACGGCTGATCTTTGTCATCTTTAATCAAATCAATGTTTGAAAGTTAAAGGTCCATGACAACCTATGATGTTTTGATCGATTACATTTTATACTTAAATTAAAAGATCCAATTCGTCCGCTCAACTTTTTTTTCATTAGTTTAGAATTTGACGATTCATTAATATGTTTTTTTATATTTAGTCTTTCGTGGAACCAACCAAAAAAGATCAAATGGTCTTTTATATGAAAAAACGAAGAATAGAAAAGGGGGAGTTCCGGGTGGGCGGGAAGTGACAACTGGCAAGGGGAGAAAAAATTAGACCAATGTTTTTCAAAGACCATGTGAATTTCAATAACAGGGCCATGCTTCATTTGGTGTACCGATCCGTTTTGCCTGGTATAATCTGTTTGTGTACTGTACAGCTTGCTCTAGCTGGTTAGATGTCAGCCCGGTTCTTTTATTCTGAATATCCACTTTGGGTACTTTTAATTTCTTGCTTGTTCAGTGCTTTTCTCTCGTTTTGGATATTCGTAGTTTTGTATATGCCTAGTTTTGGATATCCCTAGTTTTGGATATCCCAAGTTTTGGATATCCCTAGTTTTGGATATCCCTAGTTTTGTATATCCCTAGTTTTGGATATCCCTAGTTTTGTATATTCCTATGTTTGGATATCCCCAGTTTTGGATATCGCTAATTTTGGATATCTCTAGTTTTGGATATCCCTAGTTTTTGTATATCCCTAGTTTTGTATATCCCTAGTTTTGTATATCCCTAGTTTTGGATATCCCTAGTTTTGGATATTTCTAGTTTTGGATATCCCTAGTTTTGGATATACCTAGTTTAGATATTGCTAATTTGGATATCCCTAAACAGATTCCGTACAATAAAGTCCTTTCATTAAAAGGCGTATAAGATGTCATATTTTCCGGTTTTTAAATGGTTGTTAGAAATTTTGTATACGCCATTCTATTGGTTAAATTTTGCAGACTATAAGATTAAATTAATATTAAAATTAAAAAAAAGAGGAGGAGATCAAGTACCGATCTGAAAACCTACAATCCCAATAGAGTTTCAGTTCTGCTCGTGTTAAAACTGAGTTCTGTTTTGTTCAGAGATATTACATAAAACTGCCTGAAGCTTATTTTGAAAATAGTGTGTTTATGATGTGTTTTGGTGCCTTGGAGGGAATACTACAGCTTTCTCATATTTTCATTTTAATTTTAAAAATATAACTATTCTTAATCTTCTTGAATGTTTGGTGCAATTCGAGTAACATGTAGTTCGTTTTTTTGTTTTTTTTTGTCCGTGATTCAGCCCAAATGCGCTGTTTTTTCAGAATTATGTTACAAATTGTTTGATTGTTCGTTAGTTTAAACCACTAAGAACTCTGTAGGATTACATTGAGGTATAGATGTTTATTATCTAAGCCGGGATTGCCTTATTTTTGCATAATATTTTGTATAGCTCAGAAGGGTTTTGTTATCTAATGATCTTTATCCTTTGGTTTATGCTATGGTTTATGGTCTTGAGAATTGTACTAAATATACATCATAATCATTTAAACTAACTAAAACTTTATGTTTTTCGATTGATTGAATATTCGAAATTCATTATTTTCCATAAAATTAGCGATATAGAGAGAATTTTCAACTTTTCCAGTCTGCCTTGCAGAAATTGAACGCGGTTAGTCAGATTGATAAATGTTATGCCAAGATACGTGGTTTTTTACTGCGAAATAGACAGTTTTAACAGTTTAAAAATGTTTTCTGAAATGTTGATTCAATTATTTTTTCAAAGGTGTAAAACCCCTGGTTTAAAGGTTTAATGCTTCAATTTGAACAAAATATTAACAAATTAAATTTTTTTCCAATTAATTTACTGTTTAATCAATTTATTGAAAGAAATCTAAAATATTGATTTCAAATTTGAAAAAAGAATATTACTTCATTAGGAATATATGTATAAGTATAAAAGATAGGAAAAAGAAAATATTGTTTTAAAAAGTTTTGATTTCTTTTGATGTTCTTGACAGTCTATTCAGTGAACTAAATCAAACTATATTTGATATATCAATGGATAAATCTGAAAGATCTAGAAAAAATCTAATACTATTTTGAATCTGGCTTTTCGACTTCTTCAGAATAAGATGGATGTAGATTTTTATCTTTGCTTTGAAGAATTTTCTGCCATGATTAAAATCAAAAGTGTTTTATATCCTCAGTCAACATTTAGCCTGTCACAAATTGATCTTCAAACTCTGGTTAAAATCTTTTATGTGTCAATTTTTGTTTTAATGCTTTCACATAATTTTAAATGTTTAAATTTAATCGGTTTTGAATGTTTGAAAACTAAAAGTAGTTCACAGAAACGTATAGAATTCTCCAAACCTTTTATATTAAAGAATTAAAGTATACATTTTACATGAATCAGGAAAAAGTGCAAAAAAGGCTATTTTGGTTAAACATACAATTTTTATATCGATGTCAGAGTTATTAGATGGATATTACAATAAAGTTATTAAGAGTTTGAGAAATGTAATCAATTATCTATTTGTCATTTTCAACGTAAGTACGAACTTAATTTTATAGAGGGAAAATTTATTATATTTTTTACATATTTTGTTCGTTCATGAATTATAATCCTTTAGTAGAGCCTTAATGTATCAAGCGTTGAATTATTCATCAGTACATTTATCAGGTATTTACAAATATATATAAATATATCTAAATATATATGTATAAAGGATAGGTTGATAGTGTAAATGGAATATTAATATTGGGTGTTTATATCCAATTATTTATCCAAAATATAGACCAGCAACACACAATATACATATTGATACAGGGTGTCCTAAAATATAGACCAGCAACATACAATATACATATTGATACAGGGTGTCCTAAAATATAGACTAGCAACATACAATATACATATTGAAACAGGGTGTCCTAAAATAAAACTAGCAATATACAATATACATACTGATACAGGGTGTCCTAAAATATTGACTAGTAAAATACACTATACATACTTATACAGGGTGTCCTAAAATATAGACCAGCAACGTACACTATACATACTGATACAGGGTGTTCTAAAATATAAACTAGCAACATACAATATACATACTGATACAGGGTGTCCTAAAATATAGACTAGCAACATATAATATACATACTGATACAGGGTGTCCTAAAATATAAACCAGCAACACACAATATACATACTGATACAGGGTGTCCTAAAATATAGACCAGCAACGTACACTATACATACTGATACAGGGTGTCCTAAAATATAGACCAGCAACATACAATATACATATTGAAACAGGGTGTCCTAAAATAAAACTAACAACATACAATATACATACTGATACAGGGTGTCCTAAAATATAGACCAGCAACATACAATATACATACTGATACAGGGTGTCCTAAAATATAGACTAGCAACATACAATATACATAGTGATACATGGTGTTCTAAAATATAGACCAGCAACATACAATATACATACTGATACAGGGTGTCCTAAAATATAGACCAGCAACATACAATATACATACTGATACAGGGTGTCCTAAAATATAAACTAGCAACAAAAAATATACATACTGATACAGGGTGTCCTAAAATATAGACTAGCAACATAAAATATACATACTGATACTGGGTGTCCTAAAATATAGACCAGCAACATACAATAACATATTGATACAGGGTGTCCTAAAATATAGACCAGCAACGTACAATATACATACTGATACATGGTGTTCTAAAATATAGACCAGCAACATACAATAGACATACTGATACAGGGTGTCCTAAAATATAGACCAGCAACACACAATATACATACTGATACAGGGTGTCCTAAAATATAGACCAGCAACATACAATATACATACTGATACAGGGTGTCCTAAAATATAGAC